CCACACAAAAACCTGCATGTGGATGTTTATAGCAGCTTTATTCATAATTGCCAAAACTTGGAAGCAGCCAAGATGTCCTTCAGTAGATGAATGGATAAATAAACTGTGGTATATTCAGATAATGGAATATTATTCAGCCTAAAAAGAAATGGGCTATGAAGCCATGAAAAGACATGGAGGAACCTTAAATGCATATCACTAAGTGAAAGAAGACAAACTGAAAAGACTACATGCTGTATAATTCCAATTATACGACATTCTGGGAAAGGTGTAGCCACAGGCCCATTTAGAGCCAATTCAAACAGACCTCATCTCTTATCAACAAAGTGATTAAGGATTGTCTTTCAGAAAATCTGCAAAGTCACATGGCCAGAGTGTGCACAGAAGAAGAAATCTTGACCTGAAATGACAGTGGAACCAAAGATCCTCCTCCCCATGGAACCAAAGCACTGGGACACTACTGGAACTTAAAAGTCAGACTCTCATCAGAAACAAGGGACCCCTCATTCAGGAAGATCTGGTGTTAAAACTCCTTCCCCACCTCATCATAAATGAGAACCCTTCAGGGCCAGCCCCATGGCTTAGCAATTAAGTGCGTGCGCTCCACTACTGGTGGCCCAGGTTCAGATCCCAGGCACGCGCCGATGCACCACTTCTCCGGCCAAGCTGAGGCCACATCCCACATACAGCGACTAGAAGGATGTGCAGCTATGACATACAACTATCTACTGGGGCTTTGGGGAAAAAAAGGTGGAGGACTGGCAATAGATGTTAGCTCAGAGCCAGTCTTCCTCAGCAAAAACAGAGGAGGATTAGCATGGATGTTATCTCAGGGCTGATCTTCCTCACAAAAAAAAAAAAAAAAGAACCCTTTCACAAGAGTTTAGAAGCCCACCAACCAAAACCTGTTCCGCTAGCATTTCCATGTGCCAGCCTATTCTCCCTAACCTCTTAAATTTTGCCCCAAATTCTGAATTGGGGAGACAGATCTGAGGGCACACACACCCTGTCTCCCTGCAGATCGATCTCACAGAATAAAGCTGATTTCTCCCCCAAAAGCTGATGCTGTAATTAATTGTTTTTTTTTTAATGCACATCAGGCAAGAGAACTCCAATTTTGTGTGGTGACAAAGGCGAACCTACGGAGACAGTAAAAGGATCAGTGGTTGCCAAGGGTGGGGATGGGGACAGATGAATAGGCAGAGCACAGAAGATTTTTAGTGAAAATACTCTGTATGATATTATAGTAGTGGATATGTCATTATACTTTTGTCCAAATCCATAAAATGAACAATACCAAGAGTGAACCCTACGTAAACTATGGATGTTACCACTTCAGGTCCTTTTTTGCCCACCACCCATAAAGCCAATCACTGAGGTGATGAGATTGCAGCAGAGAGAGAGGGTTTAATAATCACAAGGCAGCCAAGTGAGGAAACAGGAGAATGAATCTCAAATCCGCTTCCCTGAAAATAGGGCCTCGGGGATATTTTATGTGGTAGAGGGCAAGGTGGTCTGAAATGATTGGAGGTGAGGAGAGATGAGGTAATTGATTATCTGTGCAAGCATAGTCAGGCTTCATGCCTCTTTGTAGGATGAATGTTCACAGAATGGCGGCATTAGCATGCCCTGAGGGTGGAGCTCCCACCGCTTGACGTCAAAAGGTCGCTTATTGGACATATATGTCTGCGTGGGCCCAGTTGATGGGTTGGTGGTCACAATCTGGCCTGAAGTGGACAAGGGGTTCCAATTCCTGGAAAAAATAGCTCAAACACCTGTTACCATGGTGACCTCGGCTCCAGGGAGATGTGATCCATAGGAACCTAGTGGGAGTCAGATAGCTTATTGCCCAAATAGCACAGCTAACAATGGGCAAGTTTATCATGCAGATTTCAGTCATCACCTTCCGTTCTGATAAGTTTCTAAGTAAGGTGATTCCCCTTTTCTTCCTGGTACAGGGAAGAAGACACCCTTTCAAATGGAGATTTCCTTTACAAATGTAAATGTATCTTACAAAGGGTAACCAGAACTAAGAACGGGCTTAGCACGGACCCACCCAGATACCCAGAGACGTCTATGGTAATGGCCTGTTCTGGGGGCAGACCTCCTATCCCAAACTCTTTTGGTCAGTTAGTGGGGGTAGAGTTCAATGTGTCTTTCAGGCAGAGACATATTTTGAGGTGGCCAATTCCAATCCCCCATAGTTACTAGCTGCTTAATCATCAATGGCTAACTATTTGCCAGTTTCGTGGACATTGGGTGATAATGATGTGTGGACATAGGGTCACTGATTGCTATAAATGTATCACTCTAGTGTGGATGTTGCTAGTAAGAAAAGCTGTGCATGTGTGGGGCAAGGGGTCTACAGTGTTAAAAACAAAATTCAGCCCAGTAAATTTGAAGATCTTATTGGCTTTATTAGGCAATTCATGAATCAGCCAGCATCCCACTTAGCAACCAGAAGGGTGTTCCATGGGGTTGTACAAAATGGAAAGTTTTTATAGGAAGAAGAGTCGGGCCATGGAGCTATCAGCAAAAGAAAAGAAAAGATTACTTTTAGGGGGACATCTCCCAGGGGAAGGGAAAAACAGGGTTTTTCTTATGTAGATTGTCTTTTCTCCCTGGGGATGAGGAAGGCCCATTACTTTACAGGAAGACAGATTACCTTACTGGTGCCTGTCCAGAAAATTCCAGACTGGTAGATTAAGATGACATCTCTGGGAGAGGTTGAAACTTCAACGAGATCAGGAGTTAAATCTAGGTTTGTATCATGGGCTTTGGCACCAGTGATGCCATTTTGGGCCTGTGGTTTTCTTCTTAACAATAAGAACCCTCTGTACCTCCTGCTCAATATTGCTGTGAACCCAAAACTGCTCTAAAAAATGAAGTCTATTTTCAAATAAGTGTTCCTTTAAAGAGTCTTTATTTATTTTTGAGGAAGATTGGCACTGAGCTAACATCTGTTGCCAATCTTCATCCTTTTTTCCTTTTATATCCCCAAAGCCCCCATTAGATAGTTCTATGTCATAGTTGTACATCCTTTTAGTTGCTCTATGTGGGACACTGCCTCAGCATGGCTTGATGAGCAGTGCATAGGTCCGTGCCCGGGATCTGAACCAGCAAACCTGGGCCGGCAAAGCAGAGTGCGCTAACTTAACCGCTATGCCACGGGGCTGGTCCCTAAAGAATCTTTAAAAGAGCGAAGAAAGGCCAAAGAAGGGGAAATGTGTTTAAAATGTAAATAATTGACAATTGATCAGTTTCTGAAATTCATAAAGAACATTTAATCAAGAGACAACAAGAAGGAATCCACTTTAAACCACAGAAGCCCAGGACCCGTGACCAAGCAGGTCACCCAGGGGACTGTGAGAGATCAAAATTAGCCACCCTGAAATATATATCTTTACCTTGATTATTTTCTCTGCGGACATTTGACCTCCCCCAAACTGCCTAAAGAATTTAACATAGAAGACCTGTTTCAGGAAGGAGCCACTATCATATGATGGCTGTAATACAATGTAAAATCGATGTTACAATGGGAAAGGCACCAACAAGCCCATCTTGTCAAAATTCTGTCACTCCCTGGCCCTGCAAAGAGTTGCCAGACAAACATGTATATTTATAAAGGACATCTCCATTTGTAAATGTATCTCCCTCTCTCTACTGGGAAGAGGGGAAGATGATCCTACCTCTGTAAACTCTTTTCAGTACGGAAGGAGAGGACTGAAATCTGCATACCCTTGATTACTGTGATTTCTGTCTCCCTCCCCACCCCCAACATCCTCCTTTGTCTTTAGCTGAAGATGGTATTTAAGATGAGAATCTCTGCCATTTTGTTGAGAAACTCAGTTTCCCTGGTTTCTCCCATGTATACATGTTATTAAACTTGGTATTATTTTCTCCTGCTAACCTG